GTGTGATAGTGTGTCCGAACATCATAGTTGCACCCTATTGGATATGGTGCGTACCATGATGTCTCTTATCGAATTACCACTATTGTTCATGGGTTAGGCATTAGAGACAACCACATTCACTTTAAATAGGGCACCACGTAATTCCATTGAGATGACACCTTATGAATTATGGTTTAGAGAAACCTAAGTTGTCGTTTCTTAAAGGTTTGGGGCTGCGACACTTATGTGAAAAAGTTTCAGGCTGATAAGCTTGAACCCAAAGCGGATAAATGCATCTTCATAGGACACCCAAAATAGTTGGGTATACCTCCTGTCTCAGATCCGAAAGCAATAAGGGATTGTTTCTAGAATCGGGACCTTTCTCGAGGAAAAGTTTCTCTCAAAAGAATTGAGTGGGAGGATGGTGGAGACTTGATGAGGTTATTGAACCATCTCTTCAACTAGTGTGTGGCAGGGCACAGGGAGTTGTTCCTATGGCACCTACACCAATTGAAGTGGAAGCTTATGATAGTGATCATGAAACTTCAGATCAAGTCACTACCAAACCTCGTGGGATGACAAGGATGCGTACTACTTTAGAGTGGTACGTAATCCTGTCTTGGAAGTCATGTTGCTAGACAACAATGAACCTACGAGCTATGGAGAAGCGATGGTGGGCCTGGATTCCAAAATGGCTCAAGGCCATATAATCCGAGAGAGGATCCATATATGAAAACAAAGTGTAGACTTTGGAAGAACTACTTGATGGTTGTAAGGCTGTTAGGTACATATGGATTTTAAAAGGAAGACGGACAATGATGGTAAGTATCACCATTAAGAAAGCTCGACTTGTCGTTAAGATGTTTTTCGACAAGTTCAAGGAGTTGACTACGACGAGACTTTCTCACTCGTAGCGATGCTAAGAGTTTGTTGGAATTATATTAGCGATTACTGCATTATTTATGAAATCTTGCAGATAGGATGTCAAAACATTGTTTCCTCGACGATTTTCTTGAGGAAAGGTTGTATGTGATACAACCGGAAGGTTTTGTCAATCCTGAAAGATGCTAATAAGTATGCAAAGCTCCAGCAATCCTTCTAAGGACTGGAGTAAGCATCTCGGAGTTGGAATGTATGCTTTGATGAGATGATCAAAGATTTTGGGTGTATACAAAGTTTATGAGAAACTTGTATTTCCAAAGAAGTGAGTGGGAGCACTATAGAATTTCTGATGAGTATATGTTGTTGACATATTGTTGATCAGAAATGACGTAGAATTTCTGGAAAGCATATAGGGTTATTTGGAAAGTGTTTTTCAATGGAAAGCCTGGATTAAGCTACTTGAACATTAAGCATCAAGATCTATAAGGATAGATCAAAACGCTTAATGGTACTTTCAAATGAGCACATACCTTGACATGATCTTGAAGGTGCTCAAGATGAATCAGTCAAAGAAGGAGTTCTTGCCTGAGTTGTAAGGTATGAAGTTAAGACTTAAAGCACGACCACGGCAGAAGAAAGAGGAAGGACGAAGGTCGTCCCCTATGCTTTTGTCATAGGCTCTATACGGTGTGCCATGCTGAGTACCGCACCTGATGTGTGCCTTGCCACATATCTGGCAAGAGGGTACAAAGGTAATCTAGGAGTAGATCACCAGATAGCGGTCTAAATTATCCTTAAAGGAATAAGGATATGTTTCTCGGTTATGGAGGTGATAAAGAGTTCGACGTAAAGAGTTACGTCGATGTAAGCTTAACACCTATCCGGATAGCTCTGAGTAGAGATACCGGATACGTATAATGGAGCAACAATTTAGAATAGCTCCAAGTAGAACAGTTATTTGAAATGGCTCCAAATGTAGCATAGTAATTGCATCTACAAGATGACATAGAAATTTGCGAAGTACATACGGATCTGAATGTTGCAAACACGTTGACTGAAACCTCTCTCACAAGCATAACATGATCAAACCCAGAACTCTTTGGGTGTTAGTCACATGGGATGTGACCTTGAGTGTTAATCACATATCGATGTGAACTGGATTATTGACTCTAGTGCAAGTGGGAGACTGTTGGAAATATGCCCTAGAGGCAATAATAAATTGGTTATTATTATATTTCCTTGTTCATGATAATCGTTTATTATCCATGCTAGAATTGTATTGATAGGAAACTCAGATACATGTGTGGATACATAGACAACACCATGTCCCTAGTAAGCCTCTAGTTGACTAGCTCGTTGATCAATAGATGGTTACGGTTTCCTGACCATGGACATTGGATGTCATTGATAATGGGATCACATCATTAGGAGAATGATGTGATGGACAAGACCCAATCCTAAGCCTAGCACAAGATCATGTAGTTCGTATGCTAAAGGTTTTCTAATGTCAAGTATCATTTCCTTAGACCATGAGATTGTGCAACTCCCGGATACCGTAGGAGTGCTTTAGGTGTGCCAAACATCACAACGTAACTGAGTGGCTATAAAGGTACACTACAGGTATCTCTGAAAGTGTCTGTTGGGTTGGCACGAATCGAGACTGGGATTTGTCACTCCATGTAAACGGAGAGGTATCTCTGGGCCCACTCGGTAGGACATCATCATAATGTGCACAATGTGATCAAGGAGTTGATCACGGGATGATGTGTTACGGAACGAGTAAAGAGACCTGCTGGTAACAAGATTGAACAAGGTATCGGGATACCGACGATCGAATCTCGGGCAAGTATCGTACCGCTAGACAAAGGGAATTGTATACGGGATTGATTAAGTCCTTGACATCGTGGTTCATCCGATGAGATCATCGTGGAGCATGTGGGAGCCAGCATGGATATCCAGATCCCGCTGTTGGTTATTGACCGGAGAGTTGTCTCGACCATGTCTGCATGACTCCCGAACCCGTAGGGTCTACACACTTAAGGTTCGATGACGCTAGGGTTATAGGGAAAGTATGTACGCGGTTACCGAATGTTGTTCGGAGTCCCGGATGAGATCCCGGATGTCACGAGGAGTTTCGGAATGGTCCGGAGGTAAAGATTGATATATAGGAAGTATGGTTTTGGTCACCGGAAGTGTTCCGGGCATCACCGGTAGTGTACCGGGACCACCGGAGGGGCCGGGGGTCCACCAGGTGGGGCCACCAGCCCCGGAGGCCTACATGGGCCAATAGTGGGAAGGGACCAGCCCCTAGGTGGGCTAGGGCGCCTCCCACCAAGGCCCAAGGCGCCTCCAATAGGGGAAGGGGGCAAACCCTAGGGCAGATGGGCCCTAAGGCCCACCCTAGGTGCGCCTCCCCCTCTCCCCCCTTGTGGCCGCCACCCTAGATGGGATCTAGGGCTGCCGCACCCCTTGGGGTGGGAACCCTAGGTGGGGGCACAGCCCTCCCTCTCCCCCTATATATAGTGGAGGCAAAGGGGCAGCCCAACACACGATTCAATCACCCTGTTGGCGCAGCCCTACCCCTCTTCCTCCTCGTCTCTCGTAGTGCTTGGCGAAGCCCTGCTGGAGTCCCGCGCTCCTCCACCACCACCACGCCGTCGTGCTGCTGCTGGATGGAGTCTTCCCAACCTCTCCTTCTCCCCTTGCTGGATCAAGGCATAGGAGACGTCACCGGGCTGTACGTGTGTTGAACATGGAGGTGTCGTCCGTTCGGCACTAGGATCATTGGTGATTTGGATCACGACGAGTACAACTCCATCAACCCGTTCACTTGAACGCTTCCGCTTAGCGATCTACAAGGGTATGTAGATGCACTCTCCTTCCCCTCGTTGCTAGATTACTCCATAGATTGATCTTGGTGATGCGTAGAAAATTTTGAATTTCTGCTATGTTCCCCAACAAATCGCGCCAGACTGTGGTCTTGGCGGACGATGGCGGCGTCTCAGACGTCGTTTCCTTTTGGAGGCATCGTCGTTGCAGGTCTCATCAACCTGATCGGAAAGTTCCGGGGGAAACCCTAGATCTAGGTCTACCGGATCGGACGATGAAGGTGCTATCGGTATTGTTCTCCCTCATGGGGACATCGTTTTGGAGCGAGTGCTGGTTGGAGGGGACAAGAGGAGGAGCGGTGTTTCATCTGCTTCATTGATGACGGCGGATCTCGGCGGCGTGGCGCAGTGGAGACTCGGCACCTGATGAGCGGAGATGGACTCGTGCAGGAGGGTGACGCTGCCTGGCATCATGGTGGCGTCGGCGGCAGTTGGACCGGCCAAGGTTGATGCAGCAATACAGCTCTGAAGATGAATTCGTGGCAGGTGGCTGCGGCGGCCTCATACCCGGCAGGGGTCCTGGTTGAGAAGCACGCCGGACTGGTGGGTGCCCATACCCGGCAGGCGTCCTGGGTGGGACCTCAAGTCTTTAGATGTTTAGGTTTGGCTGTGTGGTCTGTTTGGTATTAGACCCAGACTTTCAGCGCCCCTACATCAACTGGATAGGGATAGCGACAGTTGTTGCTTAGTTTGATGGCTTTAGTCTTATTATTATATGACTCTGTACGGTCTTGTGTCAATAATTAATAAAGTGGCCGTATGCATTGTCCAGATGCAGAGGCCGGGGTCGTCCTCCTTTTTTTTTTAAAAACCATGCATGCAAAGAAGATAATCATGTATGCACGAGAATCTCCAACAAAATCCGATATGCCATGCATGGTAGAGTTTAATTTCTCTTTCACCACGGTCGTCGACAATTTGTCCCAATGTGAGCAACACCATCCGATAAAAAGGTTTGCCCAATGACCCATTCATGCGAAAGGTGCGCAGCGCGCAGGAAGCCACGCCCCTAATATAGTCCTTCTCCATCTCAAAGTAGCAGAAAGCCGCACGTGCATGTAATATGCACCCTTATTTTGGTTCTGCCTGAGACGAGTCATGCGTCCCCATTCCGGTGAAGCGGGGAAGCCAAAGCTATTGCCCGCATCCCCGCGGCTGCTTCTTCCCACGTCCACACAACCACAAGAAACGTCGGGGACTCGCCGGTGATCAATCCCCATCACTCGCCGGCGATTGGTCTGGACGCGACCAATGGCAGAAACCGCAGCGATAGCACCACCACCACAACCAATGGCACCACCGCAACCAGTGGAGGAAAACGCAACGGCGGCACCGTCACAACCAATGGCACCACTGCAACCAATGGCGGAAAGCGCAACTGTCGTTGTGGTGGTGCCACCACCACCGCCAGACGGCACCACGACATTCCTCTGCCTCATCCTCGCCTTCTTCATCCCTCCCCTCGGCGTTTTCCTCAAGTACAAATGTGAGGTAAGTGTGCGCTCACCCACATCATCTCAAGGTTGTCGATGTGACACAATAGCTTCTATTTTTTTAACGTGTGTGACACAATAGCTTTACCATTGCCATGGATATATGCATGCATTTCAACATTCTGGGGCTCCTGATCGGATCGCTTCTTGCTGGTGTTTCTGCTGCAGATTGAATTCTGGATCTGCCTCATCCTAACATTCTTGGCCTACGCGCCGGGCATCATCTACGCCGTCTGGGTGATCGTGAAGTAGAGATTACGCCCGTGAACGTTGGGACAACAGGGATTTGATTCTTCTCTTCGAATCCCAGACATAGAAGAAAAGAAAGACTTCACAGAGGCAAGAACACTTTGGGAAATCCCAGGGGGAAATGATGCCGTTGGAATGGGAGGACTAAAGGATTTGTCGCCTCAGTTTTAGGCTACGTCTCTTTTTCACCTTCCATTTTTTGGTGCTGAGAATTAGTTATTGTTATCTGGGAAATTAACAATAACAGGTTGTGTTGTCATTGACATATGGTGGCTGCAAAATTCCAGAGAAACATGTCATTCTCTCTTTTCCAAAAACTGACTTAGGGGGGCATGATATGTTCATTACGACTCAAGTGGCCTGGGACACTAACATATCAAGGTATGGCGCGCACGTACGTCAGTGCCGATGAAGTCACTTGTTCGTTTGAGGTGTAAAGACAAAATTAATGTGTTACCCACTGCCATCCCACAATTTTCCAACCCAAACTCTCGTTTCTCATTTCTATTCTACTACAACACATTTTATTGAACCACATTTGTTCCATGGTAAAATATTATTGAGGTGAGGTGCATATAGTTCAACAAAGAAATTCAAACCACAGAATTACAATTAAAATTAAGTTGTATTCCAAAAAGGAAATCCTAAATACACAAACATATATATAGTTCAATCACAAGCACCACAAACTATTGTTCGCCCGTACCTGCAAATGCACAAAATGCATGTCAATTAAATTGAAAATGCTCAAACCATAAGCAAACAAGGAAATAAATAAGTAAACTTGTGCACTCTTCGGTCACTGGCAAAGGGCCACACCACACCCTCCCACACCTTTTCACGTGGCCATGACACTCTCCGTGTCACCATGGCCGGCCAACCTCACCTTCAGAGACAATGAATGCAGCTCGCTTTGCTTACTAACTGGCCGAGTGATCAAAGTCTGAATCCTAACACGCACAAACAGTGTTCAAGACGAAACATGCAAGATTGATTCGGGTAGTCAGTTTGTTCTTGGAAACTAGATCAGAAAGGAAGATAAACATGTCTCCAAACAACAAAATACAATGGTGTGCAGCTGCAGCTCAAGGCCAGGGACGGTCGCCTGGCCTGCTGGCGTGCCGTTGAGGGCAGGACACGGGGAAACAAGGGCAGAGCATTCAACTAACTAGAATCCCGAAAATGTTGCTTGGGACCATAATCCACCCGAACCCATGCTCAGATCCGTTCATCTCAGGACACCGCGTATGGAGATATGTGCATGGTGAGTAAATTGTTGCATGGCGGAAACAGTTTAGTGTGATGGCGGGAACAATTTAGAGGGTTAGAAGCCATGCATGTGCCAAATATGATCGTATTTAATGCTATACCATAGCTAATAAAATAGTCATGTTGCATCGGGCAATGAAATGTTGTCTCATATGCACACTGTTCACTATTGTTTATTGCCTCGTTATGCTCGTCGAGCTCTGTCCCCAACACATGCATGAAGTAGGCTGGCAAGGAATGCTATGCAATTGAAACTTGAAAATACGCACAAGATAATTCGTGCATAGATAATTTTTTGTAGATATTTCTGCAACTCTTTTTCCTTCAATTTTGTATCCCATGAAACCTACAATCTTCTTGTGCATGATTGATGACCTGCTGTTCAGACATATAGCAAAGCCAATAATATCTAGAATTTTTAGTTGCTGAACAGATAAATTTTCGTAGTTGTTGTGTCTACATCTCTTTTTCCAAAATATCAGTACTAATTTCCTACTTAATATTGTATTGAAAGTATTATGGGTACATGCTATATTCCTCTCACCTGACATAAGCTTATCAAAGACTTTAAAGTTGTCTCCATGCAGCCGCACTGTTCACAATTGTTTAATGCACGCCAATTCTGCCCCCAGGACATGCATGCCAACATAAAATTCAGTTTTTCTTTGTTTTTCAAAAAATCATGAAAAAATTCACACATGTAGTAACCTGAATGTTCAGTGAACTAATTTTTTTAACATTTTTTCCAAATGGATGCGATCTGTGGAAGAATATTTTTTTCCATAACCATATGAAACAATAATAATAGATAGAAAAACAGATTGCTTCAGATGTTGCCACAGTAACATAGAGGCGTGTGCCAGCCCTTCCCTTAAAAAATGCAAGCCTGCGCAGGCCTAGAGCAAGCTGCCAAGAGAAGGATTAAGCTAATCAAAGAAATTTGAATGCTAACCAAGCCCAAATCCACATGAAGACCATTACTATATCTAACGGCATTGACCATAGGTTCCGCTGGACCATGGTCCTAAATATCTCCTAGAATCCCTGCCCCAAATTTCCTACATGTGCATGCAATTTTCTTCCACGATCAGCTTCTAGATCATGTTTTCATATGAATAAAAGTATTAGTATCCATATCCTGGTAGCCTGCTACAGATAGGTACAGACACAAAGATGATCCCTTTCATATGTCATCATCTCAGTAAAGAAACGCCACTCGCAGTTCATCCCACACGCAGTTCACGGCCCCTCCAGACCTGCAAAACTCACAACCAAACCATGGAAATGTGTCATCACATACTCGACCATGTCGGAGCAAGAATTTCTAGTTGCACGAAAGCTAGCACCGGATCATTGACAGACTGGCTGCCATGTCCATCATCTGGGTAAAACAATGTCTGACTGACCACTTTGTTGAGGCCCCGAATGGCGACCTTCAACCCCTCGCGCGTCGCCATTGTGACGACGCCGAATTCCTTGGACTCCCACCGAGCTCCTGTGTGATGGTAGATGACTTTAGCATGGACCACTTCGCCGAACTCGCTGAACAGCCGCTTCAGCTCATATCCGTTCACTTCCGGCGACAGATTGTTCACGAAGAGCATGAACATAGAGGACACGGATCGACGGGGAGACGGTGTTTCTTCTGCCCGACCTCCAGTTGCAGCTGCCTTGCTCACAGTAACGAGTCTGCCGCACAACTCCTGCATGTCCAAATAAAAAGGTCGATCAGAATCATAAAGTGTTCTACATTCTTCAGCACAGAAATTGCACATAACCCTGACGTCGAGACCTAAAAGAAACAAATTATGTCGAAAGAACACCAAATTAGCAGAACGAAGAGGGCGATTAGTTTGGCTTCACTTCAGACAATGGTGTTCCTCAAATCAGAAACAAAGGGCAGTGTCCTGAAATCAATTTACTTTGTATGCAAACCAGAAACCAATACCACATCACACAACCATAGGATCCTATTACATTACAGGAAAGGTATGGAAATGCAAACTGGGGGAAGACCTTATATCCATACTATAATCATATAGTACTTGCTCAACTATGAGCACAGGAGATGCAGCTAAGCTAGGAGAATAGGTCCAGTTTTAACTTGAGGAGACTGGCCGCATCAGGTTATCATTTATCAAATATACTCACGCTATGATGGTACAACTCCACAGCCTTCTCGGCCTCTTCAACAGTATTCATGGTGACAAGCCCACATCCAAGGCTCTGGCCTGTTCCCCTGTTGTAAAATACCTGCACAGGCACAACGTAGAAACTGTATTTCAGAACAATGAGTGATAACACTACCAACTGCAACCTAAACGTATCACAAAAGCACAAAAGGCAGCCAATTACTGCTAGACTCCAGCAGCTCCACCCTACAGACTTCAACAACGCACATCACCACATACAACAAGGAAAGTCCAGAACTGTGTGATGTTGCTATAGTAGTTGCAGGCCATTTTTAGGTAGTGCATACATTACTGATGAATCAAGAATTTGAGGCACTATTTCACATATCGATGACCGGACAAGGATAATGAAGAGATAAGAATGCTCACCTCTGATAGCACAACACTGCCAGCATGATAGAAGAGCCCGGGAAGGTCCTCCCGGTCCATGTGATACGGTAGGTTCTCCACGCGAACCTGCCTGGCTGATGGATTTGTTGGGTACACCACATCCAGCGGTGGCAAATCTAGAAAGAAAATGGAGGGTGGGCTCAAAGTTACGTTGAGAAAACTGAACGCCCTTTTAAAGAAAAAATCGATTATTTCCTAATCATTTTGTGCAAATAAACTGAAAATTTCCCAGATTACTAGAGGAAACGTGTACTCCCTCCGTCCCATAATGTAAGACGTTTTTACAAACTAGCATAGCTTGCAAAAGCGTCTTACATTATGGGACGGAGGGAGTAGTAATTACTAGAATGTTTTTGGATTTTTTTTTAAATTATCAATCAGAACAAAATTTGGAATCTGTTTAGCGAAATAGTCATTATCTCCAAATCCATTCATCCAAATATGCTCAAACTTTCACAGATTACTAGTGAAAGCATGTATTATTTACTAGAAGTTTTCTGATTTTTTTGAAAAATATCAAATTAGAACCAAATTTTAAATCTGTTCCCCACAATAGCCATTATCTCCTAATTCTCTTGTTCAAATAAGCTCATAATTTCCCATACTACTGGAAGAATGCGGTATTTAATGTTTTGAAGAAATATCAAATTTTGCAAGAAACAAATGGTTTTACCAACTAACCTAGCTAAACCTACAGCAAATAAACGATTGACTTTTGACAACAGAGTAGCACACTGCAGCACAGCACTAAACAAGCATCAAAGAAAGCAAGAAAATAGGCAGAGTACAGAGAGAAACTAGACAGAGAAGAAATCTACCGGGCAGGGGAGCCTCGGAGGTCCTCGGGTGATGGGCGGCTGCCATGCGTCGGTTGCCTCGGGCGATGTCATCCAGGTGTTTCTCGGAATAAGATGCTGGCATAGTTTTGCACTTGAATGCTTGCCTCAGTTTTTTCCACTTGGCTTCCTTGTCAGTAGCATGACAATGATCATCATTCAAAAGACCTTGACCCCAATACTTGCATGGAGCTGGAACATCGCATACAAAATAGTAGCACTGCATTTCAAAAACAGCAATGTGGTTGCATTACAAATGATGTACTATAATCATTGTATCTATTGCCGACAGCATCAGGGAGTGAAAATGCTTGTT